TTTCATCATTAGCTCTAAGCAGTTAATCCTCTGCTCCACTGACCATGGCTCAGCTCAGCTCATTTCAATAATCTGCATCTGGGCTAACCAACCCATCACACACACACACACACACACACACACACACACACACACACACACACACACACACACACACACACACACACACACACACACACATTCAGGAGTGAGCATTGTCTCACACACACACATCCAGCAGGGAGCATTGACTCCATCACACACACACACACACACACACACACACACACACACACACACACACACACACACACACACACACACACACACACACACACACACACACACACACACACACAAGCACACGCACACACACACATGCAAAACAAGGACACAATCAACCCACGAAACATATGGGACTGGTCCAGAGCAATAAATATCTTACGTAAAAGCTCTTACACCGACACACACGTACATCCATCCATCCATCCATCCATCTATAATCTACAGTGCCAACAGCAAAACCAGTTTGCACAACAGCACTCCATCAACATTCAGACAGGGAAGGCCACATACATGAAGTATTTATAGTGATTATAATAAGTTCAAAAGAAAATAACTTGACATATACTTCAATCGATTTGCCTCTGCCATCTAAAACATCGTAACCGGCAACTGCAAGTCCGGCTGCAACACATCCTTAGTAACCAATATAAATCATTATTATTATCATACATCTTCAGAGTAATATGATGCAGAGCAGAATGTTATACTGATACAGTTGTTGGCATAGGTAATAGGCATGGGAGAATGAGTTAAGACAACGTGGAAAGACTATTTTCTGATTAGTCGACTCTCTCCTTAAACTTTCTTGCTTCCTTGTCAGCCAAATTATTCTTCCTTCATTTTCCCAATCTATTCCCTCTATCTTTCTCTGTGATAGTTTCTATAGTGCACCTAAGATTTGAATGGATCGTCACAACCCAACACCCTGCTCTTTGTCTTTGGCCAAATACTGACCAATGCTTTGTGAAGTCCTCTGTGAATAAGCTGTTTCTCCTGTGTACCATCACCTTGAAGCAGCATGCATGGCTTTGCTTTTACAGACACTACCTTAGGCACTGCATTTTATAAACAGGTGGTATAGGAAGCACAGAAACACACAAAAACCTCTAAACTAAGCTTTTTCGACCTCACTACCCCTGCATGCTATGCCTTTGTCTATGTCAAGTTCAAGGTTAGCTGCTCATTGTATTGAGCGCCAATGCTTCCCCATCGGGAAGGACAGAGTGGAGATGCATTAGCACCTCAGCAGGTGGCCACCAATCTCATCTCTTCTTTCTCTTTTTTTCCTCCACTTCTACCCTCAACACATCCATCTCGTCCCATAGTCCACCTCTCCATCCACGGCCCCATGGGGGTACCTGACTGGCCTGTGTGCCTGGGTGTTAACTGTTCATTGATGCATGCAAGTGTGCTTATCTCAATTCATGCAATTGTGTGCACTTTGTGAGTATCATGCATGTGTGTTAGTACAGAAGTGTACCTCCTATGCTAATGTGTAGTCTGACCAGATGACCATGAACTGAACCAAAGCCCACAGGGGGTTAAGCCTTTCCCCTTGACCTGCTGCTGTGCACTGACCTGCAGAAAATGGGTTTAAACCTTACCCAGCCATAGCCTTTTATCTCCATCACATCTCCATCTCCTCCTTAAGCCACAGACCAACGCACACACAAACTGACCGACAGACAGGCGGACAGAGGCCATATGGTCCATTCACTTACAATGGCAGGAGGTAGCCATCAAAGAGCTCTCACAGCAGCTCCACTCGGCCATGGACGGAGAGACGGAGGGGGAGATGGATGAAGGGTAAAGGAAAAGGGAAATTAGGATAGGGCTAACAGAGGTGGAGTAAGGGAGGGGATACAACAAAATAATCGGAGAAGAAATGTGGTGAGGGTAGATATATTCTATAAATTCAAAACAGCTACAAGTGAAGGGTAAACAAAAAGAGTGGGGAGAGACTTGGAGGTGTGCAGATCATAATCCTGGTGATGTGAGAGTTTTGAGCCTTTTGTGAGAGAGTAAGGGCCAAGCATAGCTGTAGCTGTGACCCTGTACAGAATTCTACTGATTCAACAACACTGCTCGTTTCCGCTGACAGGAGGGTGGTAGGAAATTCAGCTTAGACTGTGTCAATACAGACTTTACACAACACAGCCACTCAGCATCAGAGACATCTAAGGCCAGGGATATGTTTGTGTGTGTGTCCTTGTACTGACATTTTTGTGAGGACAAACCTGATATTGGTACAACATGAGAAAAAAGTGTGGACCTGACCTCTTTAAAGGACTGTTTAGGGGTAGAAACTTTTTTAATTTGGTGAGTGTCTTCCTGGACCAACCTCAGTTTGCGGTTTTTTCAAATGTATCCCATCTCCTTTCCTCATGGGCCTACATTACATTAAACAACTCAATGTAATAGAGTCTTATTAAAAAAGTCTGTCTGCTGCTATTCCAAATATTGTTCCATGCCCCCTACTGATGTCACTTTACGTTGATGTTGAGGTAAGGGTTGTTATTGTGATAATCAAAATTAGGTTACAAAAATAACCATATAGGAAGTCTGGTCCATTATATATCTCACATTATACTAGCAACTTTTACTCTCAACCTCGCTACACATAAAACGATTTCCCAAGCAAATGCATTTAATTCACTCAGCTTCCTGCCCAGCTCAACTTCATGATGTCATAAACATGAGCTTGTAAACACTAACATTTAGCTCACCCAAACACCAATGCATTAAAGTCCATCCACTCTCTTTTACCGTAATGCTTATATTTATTCACGGTGACGTGTTACAGGTTCATAAATAACACTGAAAGAACAGAGAGACTGAAAGATAGTGTGTGACTGAAGGAGTGAGGGAAAGGGAGGGAGGGGGTTGAGGGATGGAACAAGTAAGGTGGAGGAGTGTATATAAATCAACATCCATTAGTGGAGGGGTTATAAAGTCACTGATGAAGGAGGTGGACTGAAGCTGAGGCCTTTTATTGTCTTGTTGTTGTCTTTTATTGCCTGTGATGTCATCTAATGGTATACAGTTAACGACAGGGGAGGAGAAGTATGTACATGGGAGGGGAGGATGGGGTTGTAATGGGCCGCTGTGTGCATGTGTGTAGGTCCGTGTTGAAACAGGATATTGATCATCCTTTGTCAAAGATGGCGTGTGTCGTTGGACTTTCTTTGCCCTGATATACCATATGTGCACAATCTGATCATATTCCTGTCAAGTGCCAAAATGTACTTTTAAGAGGGATGACTGGAGGAAAGCCATAGAAAGACCAAGAAATCAAGCAAGATAACCAGGAAACTGTTTCCAACATCCTCAAGCAATAACAATATTCATAAAACATTTTTTTAAAACCTACTTGAAATGCATAAAGAGTATAAGCCCCTAGATCTTCCCCAAATCACACTCATTATCACTGATGAGCAGTACTGTAGGTGTTAAATATGATTACTTATGTCCCCTGTTTGGAACATCTAGGTGTAGAAAATGGTCTTACAACATGTAAAGACACTGCCTAACACCCCCTAACATCAGCTGCTTGTTCTGCATCAATCACATTTTTGTTAAACTTCTTCCACTTGGTATTCCATCTTTCTTCATTCTGTGCACTCACACACTTCCCTCCCCCTTTTAAGACTTGCATCATGTCAGGAATAATGTTCATCTTTCCAAAGGTTCCCCTCAGCTTGACCTTCCTCTGCACCCCTCTGTCTCTCCATCCTTCTCTTCTTCCTCCTCTCTGTGTAATGCTGGTTTCCCCAGGCCTGTGAGGCTCACTGCCCTGGCATTAGTCTCAGTCATGGTCTACAATATGTGTGTTGGAGTGCGAGAACATGGGAGTAAAAGCACAGGAGTTACCTCCCTTCTATCACACCTAGCAGCAGTGCATCATCCTATTAGCCCAAAAAAGGCTGCCATACGAGGGAGGGCAAAGGGGCATGGGGGGAGTCGAGGGTGGAAGCAACAACACGCCAAAACCCAGCTTATCCAGTGCTGTTTAACTCTGAGGGAGACAAATCTTGTTTAGCCAAGGGCTTTGCTGTCACACAGAGTGTGACATGTTTTTCAAGGGAGAGATATTTATGGTCAGAGATGTTCACAAACATGCGCAGCTGCAAAATATTTCCACAGGTTTTTAGGAGCTTCAAAGCAATAAGAGCCCATAAAAATACTATTAATTGAATCATTCTCTAGATTCCCTTGTATACTGTAAGGCATTTAAGTAATCACCGAAAAACATATGTATTTCATCCTATTCTGATCCCTTAATGTGCCTCAAGAAACACATAAGAAACTTTGCCTAATCGATTCTGCAACATGCTGATCTGTGCTGTCTAGCAACTTCTGCAACATGCTGATGTGTGCTACAATCTGCCCCTAGGGCTCTGGATTTTAAGTCCATAGTGAAGGAAAAGTACAGCGGATAGTCCTGATACTGGTATACCAGTGCGGTATATGGTGCAGTGGATAAGGAGGATGTTGAGAGATACCAAATAGGCTCGCTCTAGGAATAAAACCCCCTCAGGGGCTCTCCTGATCCCCCCTCCTCAAAACACACGCACACAGGCACATTCAAATTCTCTACACAGTGAAGTACATACACTTCCTGCATTCACTATCCCTCTCTTTCACACACACACACACACACACACACACACACACACACACACACACACACACACACACACACACACACACACACACACACACACACACACACACACACACACACACACACACACACAACTCTCCCGCCTGCAGATGCAGCCGACTCAGCTGATATGCCTGAAAGTCAATCTGCCTCACTACTACTATCCTTCCCCCAATCCAGCAGTCCCCAATTCCCAGCCCTTACTCCACATTCTAACAGAGGGAAACCAAATCTCTGCCTCCATCAATTCAGCCACCTCTGCCATCCTTCATCCTGTATTCCTGCTCCTTACCTTCTTGACGCGTCCGTTTTTTGTGCCCACGAAGACCAGCGAGTGGTTCTTGTAGACGTATGCAATGACGGAGGTCATTTTGTCCACAGCGTCGGTTAAGAGAGGCTTTCCATGCACCATCTCAGACACGCCCAGCGGCGCATTCATGTCCAGGCCACAAAAGTCATCATCAATGGTCAACAGCTGCATTGGAGGAAAAGACGACAAAAGAATACATTACAAAAAATCAGATTTAGTTTCTCTCATTATTAATGTGTAGAAGCAAAATTCCCCTTAATAATAATGTTTTTTGTTGCCCTAAAAGATGTTCAGTGTATTCACTTTTTGCTTTCGAATAGGTACATGTGTTTGTTATAATATTTTATCATGGAAATCCAATATTAAGCCTTGAGGGGGGCACTTTCTTTCAGCCTTTAACACTCCTATAAGAGGGCAGCTATAGCCAGGTCTCAGGTGAGGCTTTAAGAATGGCGGTAACATAATAAGTGACCACACTCAATTGTCAATTCATCATCATATTATACAAATGATTTGCAGTAATAGCAAGCTATTGGAGTTGTTGTATGAAATCTACTTATAAATAATATCGGATCTTGATAGTCTCTGTTTTTTTACAGCAACATGTAGGGTGTCTAACTGCATACACAATAATTAGAGCCTCAAGGCAACCTGGTCTGATGAATGAAGAGTTAACTCAGGATTAATGAATTCAAGAATCAATATTTTGTGTCCGATATTTCTGGAAGTGAAAGTTATGGATAGGGGGGAGGTCAACAAAGGAGACACAGTTTGAATATGAGATAGAACATGTCAGCATTTGTATGCCAGTGTGATTCTGCTCGTTCACATGCAAGAAACGGAAAATGTGGAAAGGAGTAGGAAAGAGATGAAGATGGAAAAAGACTGCAGTCAGGCTCCAGCTCTGTAATAGCGCCAGAGGCTGCTCTGTCAGGCACAATTCCCCACCGTCCACCCAATGCAACAGCAACTGCAGAAATGCCAGTGCGGCAAGATATTCAATGTGAAATGATTCAAAGTGAACTGAGTGAAATCCAAATAAGTTCTGCATCGTCACACTGAAGCAAATCCCTGCAATGCATCTAAATATATATACAATCTGAATCAGAGAAGGGAGAAATACAAGCTTTGATGGAGGTTCAGCTGTTATGCTTTCAGTGTGGACAAGCTGCTGTGATTTTGTTATTAGATACAGAGGGGTGTGTTTCATGTAGAGTGCCTCTCTACATTGTGTCCTTGCATGCATGTGTTTTCTCCTGCGGGGTGATACTCATACCAGTCACTGTGGGCAAAATGACTTATGGCTTTTGATAAGAGAATAATGGTGCTGGGGATTGGTCATTATTCTGTGTGTATGGAGATTTGAAACACTGGGTTTAGGACTGACGCAGGCATTGCTCTTGATTAATTGCTTGGCAATGTGGTGTGGGTTGCTATGAAGAATGAGGACTTGGGAGTTGACACCGTCTTTGCGTTCCTTCAAAATGCACAAAAAAATGTTCGGTAGTAAGGGGAGTGGGTATGAGTTATGAAATATGAGGATTTATATGACCTGATGACAAGTAATTGTTTGCCGACTGATTTGAATGTTCAAATTAAGCCCTTGGTTTGATATGAATGCTTAAGCATGCATTGGTTGAATTATAACCCAAATATAATAATAGCTAGAATGTGAAACAAAAAGACCTTGTCAGGTTAGGCAAAGCAAAAGATTGTGATGTCAGAATTTTAGCTTAAGGCAAGTTATCTAGACCGTACAAAGAAGTATCCTTCCTTCAGAAGACAAAGGTGAATATGCTTCCTTGAGATGTTGGCTCTCATTTGCCTTAAAACCTATCGAACCATTTCAAATCAGCAGCATGTTGGTTTGAACTGTCAGAGGTTGGGCGCTCTGGGGAGCAGAGGGTCTTTTAGTTTATGTCTTATTTTTCGTTTTTCCTCCTGGAAGTGCACCCCCTGGGCTTTCGATCAATCTTGCAAGCACCAAGTGTCTCCTCACAACCTTTCAGTAAAGGCCATCATCATCATCAGAAGCCTCAGACTGGGCCACAGAGGAAAAATGAGGACTGCTTTCATTAGACAAATGGAGCATGGCCGGTCTAGAGCACAATGAGCTTTAGGCCATAACATGGACTTATATGAAGTGGTATAGATGATCGATGGAGGTGAATTGAATGTGGGTCAAGTTCATGTCGTATGGTTAGAGGGTTGAGAAGAGGACAAAAAGGAGTCAGGTGAAAGACAAGTGGGGAAGGGTGAGATGATAAATAAGAATGCAAGAGCTACTGAAGAGAGTCAACAAAGATGAATATTGATGCAAGAAAAAAAAAACAGTTAAGTGGACATTCTTTCCTTGGATTCCCTCCCTCTACTGGCCTTTCTCCCCCCTGACCTTTTCAGAATGAGCTGTTGTCAAGAATTCACTCTCTACACGTCCTTCAAGTCATGTGGTGGCTCACTGTTAGATGAATGGAGCTCTGAAGAGAACCAGGGTCACTACGTGAAATAACAGTGAAGTATATCACACTGGTTTGCCGCCCCGTCCCCTCCTCTCTCTTATTTGAGACAACAACCATCTTTCCAAAATTGATATCCACTATACTGTCAGTATGTATGTCCACTGTGAGTTCTCTCCAGTTACCAGTAAAGCTCTTATCTATGCATTTGTTAATATTCATTGTTTTTATGACAGAAAGAAACCCCCTCTCTGTGTTGCCATCAGTTATAAAGGAGCCTCATCATCCATAGGTTGAAAGGTTAACAGGGTCCTATCACACGCAAAACGGGTACTCTGTTGTATGGGGAGAGTCGATGATTGAATGCGGCCTCAAAAGATAAAATGTGAAGCCATTTCTCCCAAGATTGATTAGTACTTTTCTAAAAGAGCAAAAGTGGTTTTCAACATTAAAAATCATTTTATATTATCTGTGAGTTTCTGTCAACACATTGTGTCTGTAAGTAAAGGGTGATGTATGTGCAAGAAAATTATGTTGTTATGAGCTATTGTGTGTATATGTGTTTTTATCTTGTCACTGAAATATGCTTTATTATTTCTACTATTTGCCAATCACAGCTGCCATCTCTGTCCCGCATTCTGCAATCATATGAAATATACTTTGTCTGTCAGGAGGCAGACGCATTTTCGTTACAGCACCACCATAACATGGCATTTGCAGTTGTGAAGAAAGGCACGTCTCGGAATACCAAATAATATGAATGCAGCCCTTGACATTGTCTGCCAATAACGCACTGCTGTCAAAGCTCCCATCACGTTTTATGTGTTTTTCTGTTCCCTCAATCCACCTCATTAAAAGCATATCCCAACACAGGGTTTTTATTTTTCACAGCTTTTTCTCTGTCAAACATTTCAGTCCAACTTTTGATTTGACTTTTGCTAGTTTACAGTGGAACACTTTTATTCTCACTCCAGGTGCTTTTTTGATTTGTACAATTTCAGCTTCTCATTCAAAGTAAAAACAATTGTAAAACGTCTTATCCTCAATCCCTGAGTGCTGCTGATTATGATTTAATCAAATGATTAAGTTGGTGCATAGTTGTACACATCTAAATATATATGTGCATACTTCCGATTAAACACTCAAAGGTCTTGAATAGAGAAACTCAGTTCTTGCTCAGGGCTGATGGGTATTTCTGCCAGCGTCCCGTAGCGTAGCAACAGAGGAGGAAGACAGAGGGACCCTCCGTGAAGACAGAGGGACAGGAGAGCGGAGCCTCTGTATTTGGACAGAGGCCAGGCACTGAGGCAGAATCAGGTCATTCTCAGCCATATCCATCTCTGTGCTTCTGTTTGCCTGCCAGCCCCGGCACAAAGAGAGCTCTCTTCTGGACTGTGCGGAGGGATCAGCAGATACCGAGTGCAGAGAAGAAGAGGGGGCAACGGGCGCGCGTGAAACAGAGAGAGAGAGTTGCTCAATGCGATTAGTGGGGACTGAAAGAGACCCGCTCTACAACGCTCTCTGATGCATGGCCTAATCTGGACTGCAAGTTCACCAAGTTAATGACACGCGTTAAACATTTCGCCTCATGTCACTGCTCCAGCGTCCAGTTTCTTGTACTAACTTTGTTTTAGTATACTCATTCTGTTCATTGTATTTTTATAATAAGAAGGCAGCATGAACACTGTGCAGTTTATGAGAACCTTGCTTTTAACTCTGCTTATAAAGAATGGCTAGAGGAGTAAAATGAAAAACAACATATGGCCTTTGGTTGCTCGTCATATAATTAGCCTCTTAGACTTCCAGCATGTCCTCTAGCATACTGTGCTAAATGACTGACCTGCTAGGATGATTGGCGGCACTAGATAATTATGTCATGACTAAGTGGCTTTGCAGTGTTCATTGTAAGATATAATGTCAACATTCAACCCAACAATACTAAAACATTAGCTGTATGACTGCCTGCCTAAGTCTCTCTGAAGTAAAGCAGCTCACAATGGTTAGAAGGCATACAGTAAAAGCAAGTCTAATCCTTATAATTCATAATTAGCTCTATACTTAATTTGTATATGTGTATGTGCTATGCATTAACTATTTAACTCATTATGACTCTTGTTTGAATGTCTATGGTGGCAGTAGTTGCATCTAGAACTTATGCAGGACTTTTGTATTAGACTGCATTAGTTTTTAAATATGTGGACCTATTACACTGCCAGCTGAGTGTACGAATAACATGAGTGTCTGAAATGTTGGCTGACAGGAAATTGCTAGTTAATTGAAGTTTTACAAAGTTGTAATGCAGCAGGTAGCTAGTAGCTTTTGGGAAAAATTGTGGGATGTAAATATTAAAAGTTGAGCTGCTCTCAACTGAACAGATTATATATGTTGAGTTATGAAACCTTTTGATGAAATACCAATGCCTGTGTGAATTTTTATGATCTGATCTGGTCCAAAACTGAAGAAACACTGTGTGTGGCTGTTTGTGTGTGTGTGTGTGTGTGTGTGTGTGTGTGTGTGTGTGTGTGTGTGTGTGTGTGTGTGTGTGTGTGTGTGTGTGTGTGTGTGTATCAATCAGATGGACCACTGGCTACTGTGCCAAGACTTAGTCCGTCTGTCCACTCATCCATGGTGCCCTCCATTACACTAGCAACGCCTGACAGAACGCACCATCACACACAGCGTGATGTAAGCACACACACAACAAGATGT